GGCTTGTTTTACAACGTCGTTGCCAAGCGACGAAAACCCAACCCCGATGGCGGGGGGGGGCTTGTCTTCAGTGGGAAGGATTATTTTACCCTGGGAGGTCTGGCAGCAAAAGAGTTTGTATCGAAACATTTTGGTGATAGCAGTAGCAATAGGTGTAGCTGACGTTTTTTTCGAGGTTCCTGAGAACTGCTATTGTCGACTATAACACATTCTAACGCACTCGAAGCTGGTGCCCTTCTTTTATTGTTGACCCGTGTTAAAATTTCGTAGCAAATGCACGTCGACATCCACAAGCGCCACTGGGTCACGTCATCTGAGGCCCCCACGTATGGTTTACTGCCGAGGGATCTTGCTTTCCAGATGCATGGAAATCCGATGTTAAGCCTATTACTTTGCTTTAACGGCGACGATAGTCGAAGTCCGGCGCGATCAAGGACGACGACGTGCTCTTACCAATCCTCCTTCGTACCCTGTGGCAACAATACAACAACCTGTGCCGTTCCTAGGAATTGCTGACCCTCCGCGACCCCGCCAACTACATATGTACTTGCATCGCTGAGAGAGACGGCGGCGATATCGCTGAAAGTGGTCTTGAGGCTGCTTGGCCTACTTGTGTACATAGACTGCGCGAGATTTTTTTGTTTCCATTGGGCTTGTGCGCATAGTCCCAAGTCTTGCAAAAAAAAAACTTGAGTGAACCACCACAAAATATAACGTCAGACGTGTCAGATGTCAAAGTGCGTGTTTTGGCTTGGCCAACGCTCGTAATACCTTCTTAAAGCAGTTTACACGAGCTATCATCCCCATGCTACACTGCTCTTCGGCACTCAATTGTGCACTCTGCAATCTGAACACTGCCGCGCTCGGAAGAGGCTTCGGCATTGTTTGCCGCCGCCCCTCAAGGTAGCCACCCGATCGGGGATTGCACAGCATGAGCCATGCAGAACATCGAAGAAGCACGCAACGCACAAAACGTGCGTTCCGGTGAGATGGAAGAAGGGTAGCAGTACCAACGCCACTCTCAAGATATCGTGTGGAAGGGAACACCTTGTGATATGCACGTGTGGTGGTATCTTGTGATCATACATAGTCTACAAGGTATGCACGATTCGTCATGATACCCGCGGCGAAAATTTCGCTCCAGTAGCTCGGTACAGCGACCCAGGCCTACCCACTGCACCACAACCTATTTGGGGGTGTTGGGTTCGGGTTAGGGTTAGGGATAGGGGTGGGTAAGGCCTAGTGAGGCCTAGCGCCGTGGTGCTGCCTGAGGGCTGGAAACCTGCTGTGGCTTTGGTTTCGTGTCTACCTCCAATCACAACCCAAAAATTGCTGAACTGGCGCGTGCAAGAATCTCGCCAGGGCTGGCGTGTATAGACTATGCATTTTCTCGATGCTTTCGAAATTTGTCATTATTATTTTGCGTACCCCCTTTGCTCGCCAAGGGGGAGGGGAGAAGAGCGGAGACCAGGCAGGGCAACACCACACACGCCCTCGGTCTACTCCTTACGATCAGTATACACATCAGCCACCCAACAGACAGAGACATATAAACTCTGTTTGCCCCCCACAACCGCTGATAGTACCACACCGGCTTGTTTATACTGAAACCACGAGAGAACCCCACAAGGNGGGGGCTCCGTGGGGTCATGAGGGGGTGGGGGTGGGGGCTCCGTGGGTCATTTTGGTCAAAAAATGTCGCATTTCACCCAATCACCAAAAACTCATCTGGTAGTACCACACCGGCTTGTTTATACTGAAACCACGAGAGAACCCCACAAGGCCCATCAACAATAGTATTGCCATTTGGCGAAACACCCGGGCCACCAAAGAAAAAATCCATTTCTCGTCTCTCGCTACTCTCTGTTCCCCTGACCTTCCCATCGCACTGCAGAAAAACACGCATGTACCCGGACACCAGGACACCTACATGTAAGCCATATTATATGTATGCGTATACACCAATCAATCAGGCTCGTCACGCACGTAACGGGGAAGCGCGTAGCACCAACATAGCCACACACAGCAGCCAGGAGTACACTCCCCCAACCATGCA